GACTTTCAGGCTGCATATTTGCGCAGCCTGGAATCATCAAATCTAGATCTGATCGACACTTGAGAGACAGCCTATTACAATTGTGACAGCCAAACGGGGACTTAGTGTGAATCAAATCCTTGTTTCAATGTGAAATAGAAGAATCAAGATTTGTCATCTTGATTAAGGATTCAGCATGTTTGAGAAAATCTTGCGGTCAATCCAGGCACCCAGTCTTGAATGCCCTCAAAACATGGAGAATTGGATAACTCTCAATTTGAATTTTATGGAAGGGTGTCAAATTTGATTTACCAATACCACATATATTCTGTATTTGGATTCAGATACTGTACTGTTACTCCTACCAAAAGAATACTCAAATTGGTTCTCTTCAGATCCATTCTTCATCAAGTCTCTCCGGGTATAAGTGCAGAGCTGACTCAAGGGGGTTGAGCAACAATGGGCCAGTTACACTAACCGTAGTGTCAGTGTAGTGTAGTGTAGAAGAATTCTGCTAAACTTAATTGTAGTGTAGCGGAATTCCACCACATCTGCACTAACACTACGCGCATAGGCCCCAAGAAAGGGCCCACTACACTACGCTAACACACTGGTTAGCGGTTTTTTGGCCCTGTAGCAGTGTTAGCGGCCTTTAGTGCAGCGTAGTGTAGCAAAAATCCTCTAAAAATCTGCTGACACTATGATTTTTTGGCACAAAAAGCGTAGTGTAGCGTAGGGGCCCACTGCTGGGGTTAGTGACGCCTTGAGGCCAGAGACCGCGCTTATGTGGGAAAAAAGGGGGAGATCTTTTTCTCTTCACCCTTTGACCTAGAGATGGTCAAAGGGTATCTGTTGCGGATACTCGTTATCCACTGGCGGATACCCACCGGCCCCAACGGATACCCACCAGCAGGTGCAGATGGCCCCTTTTCCCCAAAACCCTGGCGGATATCTGGGTATCCCCAAGGATACCCCAGGCAAGAGGACCAGATGGCCAGCTGGCAAGGTACATGTACCTTGCCAGCTGGAAGGAAATCCTTCCAGTCAACAAGTAGTTTTTTTTTTTTTGCTCACCAGGGTTCTTGCTTATCAAATCTACCGACTCCTCTCCTCCGCTATCTTGGGAGGCATCTACTGTGATTGTTGGGTTTACAGGAGTCTCAATTGACTCTAGTGTTGGCGATGACATATTGGTGTTCTCATCTACAACAGAATTCTTGTTCACTGATTTTGTGTGTGTCATCTAATTAGGTGCTGCTTTGTGTGGCGCATCCATAAGGATAAAACTGAAAAAGGTGGAATATGTTAGATTGACTCTAAAAGCAAAACAATGAAAAATATTGGAAGTATGATAGTGCTGCTTACTCCGTGGAGAAGTTTTAATGAATTTTGTGTGCGGTCTGAATTACTATAGGGTTTTGTTAACCTGGTATGATTTGGGGCTGGGTTCTTTCAGGGTCTTGTTAACCTGGCAGCTGGATTACTTCAGGATCTTGTTAACCTGGTTCAGGTCAAGGGTCTTGTTAATGGATTGATATTATAGCGTAAAAGTTAAATGTAATTTCTTTTTGCAAGAAAAGACTTGGAGATACAATATGAAGAAGAGGAGTGAGTGTATGCGGCAACTGGAGCTGGGAGTAGTCAACGGAGGAGTTGAACAGATAGTGGCTTGTTGAATCCTCTCTATAACCAACAAGATCCTCTGGGTCGTCAACAAGGGTGCACAGACTGGTCTGTGCTCCACTAGCCAGTTTGGGCCAGCATAACCTCTGGATGGCCATGGGCGGCGGGGGCTTGTCTGTGCCTCTGTTGCCTCACATTTTTGAAAGTTTCAGCCGCAGAGTAAATTTCACATTACGTGACATGTACCAAGTAACTGCAATTCAACTTACAACCTTAGAGCATCTCCAGCAGAGCCGGGGTCGGTTTCTGCCCGAGCAGCGGCCTGCAACTGCATTTCACACCCCTGTCTCACATCTGTCACACTGCTCCCACAGCAGACTGGCAATAGAGAGCAGGGGGCGGTTGGCCAAGTCGCTAAGCTTTGGTAGACGACTAGCGACTACTTTGGGGGAGGTGTAGCTAGGTGTTGAAGTTGTGGGTCATGTCGTGTGGGTGTGTTGTGAGAAAAA